TGTTGTAAATTTTTATATGGAAAATACAAAGTAGATTTCCTGATTTCTACCAGCCTTTGGAGGGAAGTGAGAAGAAGACAAGTCTAAGGTGGAGAAGAATGAAACCTGAAGAAAGAAATACTTTGTTTTTTCCCAATTTTCTTCTTCCTCTGCCTCTGTCGCATTACTGTCCTATTTCAGGCTTGACCTACTAAAAGCCATCCATCCATTTTTCGCCGCTTATCCGGGGTGGCGTCACGGGAGCAGCAGCCTAAACAAGGAGGCCCATACTTCCCTTTCCCCATTCATTTAGGCCACCTCCTCCAGGGGAAAACCAAGGTGTTCCCTGGCCAGCTGAGAGACAAACTGTAGTCCCTCCAGCGTGTCCTGGGTATTCCTTTAGGTCTTCTCCCTGTTGGACGTGCCTGAAAAACCTCATCAGGGAGGCTTTCGGGAGGCATCAGATGCCCAAGCCACCTCAACTGGCTCCTCTCAACGTGGAGGAACAGCGGGTCTACTCCGAGCTCCTCCTGGATGACCGAGCTTCTCACCCTATCTCTAGGGAGAGCCAAGCCACCCTGCGGAGAAAATTCATTTTGGCCGCTTGCATCCACAACCTCTTTCTTTCGGCCACTACCCAAAGCTCATGACCATAGGTGAGGGTAGGAACGTAGATGTACTGGTAAGTCAAAAGCTTTGCCTTCCTGCAACACGACAGACCGGTACAACACCCGCATCACTGCAGATGCAGCACCAATCCGCTCATCGAGCTCACGCTCCATCTTTCCCTCACTTGCGAACAAGACCCCGAGTTGCTTAAACTCCTCCACCTAGGGCAGAACCTCATCCCTGACCCGGAGAAGGCATTCTACCCTTTTCCAACTCAAGACTTGGCTGCTAAAAGCTGAGAACAAAAATCTCACACCAGTTGTAAAAAGCCAAAAGGACGGCAGAAATCAAACATGCCAACTTAAGGAGGTACGACTGAGGGATGAAATGCAAGAAAAGGAGGTGACTTTTGCTCTCTGCAGCTTCCTACCAGACATCTGGACTTTTATTACCAGCTACTGTATTAATCGACTCTTTAACAGCAGAGTAATTGGGAAGTTAACAGCTGATAAAGTACAGCTTGTTGAGTAGGAAAAAGAAAGGAAACAGAACTGTGTGTGTGTGTGTGTGTGTGTGTGTGTGTGTGTGTGTGTGTGTGTGTGTGTGTGTGTGTGTGTGTGTGTGTGTGTGTGTGTGTGTGTGTGTGTGTGTGTGTGTGTGTGTGTGTGTGTGTGTGTGTGTGTGTGTGTGTTACCATCAGCCTGTAATGCCTTATCAGGCCACCAGGAGGTGTAATAGAAAATTCAGAGTTTATTCAGCAACTTCAAAACAAACTTCAATCACATTTCACCAAAGTTTCCGTGTTTTTGCTGATCTTATTGAACGAGCTCATTCTACAGAGGTAGGGGATGAAACCTGCTCAGAGACACAACTTTTAAAAGCTTTTTGCAAATGATCCTTTTATTTCAGCTTTGATCATTTCATTATCCTGGCAGCTGCTTGAGTTAAAGGAGAAGTCACACGGATTTGTCTGTCTGACATTCAGAAATAATACTTCTGCTGCTGCACTGATGGTCCAACCTGGGAAAAGAAGTTATGGTCTGGTGGCGCTCTGACCGGCAGAGAAAACATGTGTGATTTGTCTCTGTCTTTCTGTCCCTTTGCCCAGCTGTGGCAGAAAGTATCTTCGTTGATCTTTGATGAGTTTCTTCACTGTTTTATGTTATCAGTATCATATGACAATGTCTGACTCAATCCACTCCCACTTCTTGCTGATTTATGGAGCAAAAGGAAAACATCTGATGACCTTTTGGAGCTCCTCTGATGGATGTTTACGCTTATGCAACACATTCTCACTCCAATCTCAGCCAGTATCTCCATAGTCCATCTGGAAACTCACTCTTTCTCCTCCCCAGAACCCCACCTTGGAATCCTGCTACCAGTATGCAGCATCTTCAGTTCCCGTTGCTACTCCTTTAGATCCTCATTTATAATAAATCCTTTTTTACACTTACCTGTTCTCCGTGTGTGATTCTGCATGCCATGGGTCAAGAAACTGCCTCCCAGCATGACATTTTCTCAGTCAGGTTGTTTGGGCCTAATGGTCCTGATAAGATCCATAGTGACCTGTCCTCCCTAACACCCTTTATGAAGTTTCTCATTACCAACCTGGGAGCTAAATGAGCTTGTGAGGTTGTGTTTTTATCAGCTCAGGCATCTAGGAACAGTGGCGTGTCCAGATCTTTTAAAATGGGGGGGCCCAGGTGAGGCATAACTTTGTGCATGGGTGGCACCAATGGTTATGCATTTATTGTTTTACCCCCAAGTCTGTTGTGGACAAGGAAAAGCCTACTTAAATGTAAATTAGTGTGGTGGCACCTGGGGTGGCCAATCAAATTCCAAGGGTGGCATGTGCTACCCCAGGCCACTCCCTGGACACGCCCCTGTCTAGGAGGGATCCAGCAGTTTCTCCTAAGAAGCTGCCTACAGACTGTACTGCATGCCTTTGTTACATCTCAGCAAGATTACTATATTAAAAGTCGGCTGTTGGGGGTCACCCAGGCTGTGGTTGGTCGCCCAGCTGGTGCAGAGTGCTGCGGCATGGTTTGTAACAGGGACAAAAAGGTCAGAGCCAGGGTTTCATTTGAGCCGGATCTTGCCAGAACAAGAATTGAACTGTCTTATTTTGAAAGGACCGTTCCAACAACTGTCTGCTAGGTTCCGACGCGACCAGCTTGTGCTGGGTTTGAATTACGGGTGAGCTAAAGGGAGCTCATCCAAAAGGGTGACAGGATCCCCTGGAAGCCCTCAACTTACACACCCAGGGGGAACCCGAAAAGGATCCTGATTATTTACGTGGACTCTCCGAGGATTATTTTGAGCTGAGAGGCTCAGAGCTCCGATCGTTGATGCGCTCCAGACAGCTGCGTTCTGTGCAGGGCCGCAGTAACATTCTCAAAGTGTCGCCACCTCAAAGAAAATGCTTAACACGCGATTGCTGATGTAGGCTCATATCCTTTGATGATTTCTGTCTTTTATTTTGCGTTTTGCTGTAGCGGAGTGGAGCGCATCACCTGTTTTGTCCTCCGGTGACCTCACCTCACTGGTGCGGCTGGCGCAAACTCCGCTATTTTTGCGGTCGGTAGATCTTTTTTAATTGCAGTTCAAAGGTAACTCATGAGGTGAAAATATATGAAGCCAGGTAGCAAGTTTTCTTTAGGATTGAGAGGAGATTCAGGAAAATAATAGACAAAGACTGGACGGAAAAATAAAAAACAAGAAAACAAATAAAAAGTGCTTGAAAGGGAAACTTTAGGTAGATTTATCCCACTGCACGTTTTTAACTTTCTAAAGTAACTCTTTTGTAAACATGTAATACTTATATTTTTGATACAATTCAGATCTCCTTCAAACCTCAGTCCCTTGCAGGACCGTAAGGTATTTCGCCTCCCAGAAGCTGCAGGCATCAGTGAGCTTGCGGCTGCGCAGGGGGAGGGGAACAGTAAAGATGCAAAAACTACCGTTGTTAAAAGAAAAGTGTGTTAACTTTGAAAATGTGGGCACAATTTTAAATTGCTTGTCAAAAACTCCAGCGAACCCTTTGAGTTTTAACATTTTATTATGTGGTTTGTATTTATCCTGTACGTGGTTTGCTTTTATGTATTTGTTCAACTTTGTTGACTTTTAAAGGTGCTTTATGAATAAAATATTAAATAGTAAAATTTAAGTTTCACACTTTTACACAGTTTATGTTTTTTTACTAACTCTTCCACGAATGAAATACTGGAGCTGAGGCTTCTGATGGAGTCTAGTTTTTGGCTTGAATTTGTCTGAGTCTATCCTTACCTTTATCAGTAATAATACCTAAATTATATAACTATTTAAAGGATAACTCCATCTTTCTTCATCAGGATTTTATCTACAATCTTGATCATTTCTTCATGCATGAAAGCCTTTTTTAATAGCTTTTTACATGTTAATCATATTTGACCTTTGGTTTACTTTTTCTAATTGCCTAACTCTCACTGGGATGAAGATAAGTAACATATGTCTCTTATGTTTCTACTGCGTCCCCTTTAATTGAGCACAAACACATTTTAATGTTACCATAAAAACAAAGCTGTTTTGGATCTTATGTTAGGATTGTTTTCTATCTCTACACTGGACAATAAACAATTTAAAAGATAATCAATAATAATAATTTTTCTAAGGTGTGTTTCTGTGAAAATGAATAGAGGAAGTATCTTACCTGTCATAGGTTTGAACAACCTCAGTTTGTAAAAACAGAGAACAGTTTTGACCAAAGCATGATTTTATGTGGTTATTTCTGCCAGAATAAAAATACAAATGCTACATTTATTTTAATATAATAGTTTGAAAAGGGCATCTATTAATTGCTGTGACTTTTCATAATTGATTTAATAATCTTGAACTATCCTACTGTGACCAGCTGTCATTTATCAGCTCAAATCAATCTCTATTTCTCTAAGCTGATGCCATTCAAAAGGGTATCATCAAATTTCAACAGGAACTCCCTTCATAAGTGCTTTTTTAAAACTTTTTGTTAGATTGAAATCATTGCTCATGTTTGTGGTAAAATATAACATTTCTTGTTTTACTGATTTGGGAGCATCTGCGCCACAGGAAAACGTGGCATCTATCTTCAGACAGTGAGACAATAATATATTTCCTTTAGGGGCAGGGTCTAGTAGCAATTTTAGTGCAAAGATTTTGGTGAAAGAGCATGAGAATGGTTTCTGTAGGTGGTGCTGTGATGCCCTCTAGTGGTTAAACTTGATATTTCACCCAGAGGGCTGATGTGAACGACCTTTATCAGAAGCTTCAGTGTCTTATCTCCTGCAAGAAATGTCTGACATACTTTGCCCAAATGTGTGTCAGCGATGAATGTCTCTCTCTCTCACACACACACACACACACACACACACACACACACACACACACACACGAGAACGTGTGATGAAGTTTGTTTATTATTATAGAAAAATAGTTTTTTATAAAAACAAATAAGTTATGAATCCCAGCAACTGCTTTGTATTTTTCCTCTGAAAGAACATCTGTTCCCTCAACATTCATTCACACACCCAGTCCAGATATCAAGTCCTTGCTTTCCAGTCCCAAAATCAAACATAAAAAAGTAAAAGTTCGGAGCTCTTCTGGGTCCTGCTTGTGACCTATTTTCCGTAGAACATCTCCATGAGAACCTCCTCGATGTTCACGGTCCCTATGACAGGTCTGAAGAAAAGCTGGGCGACCACCGGAGGGCTGATGGCCCGCAGCATGGACAGGGCGATCAGCAACTTGGCGAAGCGCGTGGTGTCATCGCGGTGGATCAGCCGGACGTGCTCGTTCAGAGCCTGATGAGCCTCTCGACGCAGAGACTGGATGTAGTGCAGACACCTCAAACCCTCCAGATCTGACAGTGAGAAAAGTTTAGTTAACTTTAGGTTTTAATTATTTTTATTATGTTATCATTAGTATGAACTACCAAACAAAGTGACAAAGTGTGTATGTGTGTGTGTGTGGGGGGGCTGCCCCTCTGTGTCCATCCAAATAAAATTACGCCCTTGAGTTAAATGAGTTTAGTGACCCACCTGGGTTGAAGAGAACAGCTCCCTTCAGGTACGCGTACTCCTTCGTGCTAATGTCCACGCTCCAGCACTTCTTCAGGAAAGCTTTGATCGCCTCAATGTCCACCACGGACACCCCGACCGCCGCCCTGCTCTGCCCGGTCACAGCCTCGCTCTGGCGCTCCGGTACCCCAGTGAGGATGCGCTGCAGCATGCTGGGCTCTACCGTCTCCGTCGTGTCGAAGTCCACGCGGTCCTGCGCGAGACCCAGCACGAGCAGAGGAGCCCAGCCGCTCCGGATGAGCATCAGCTGGTCGTCCTCCGGCAGCTCTCGGAAACATGGGACGTTTTTCACGAACCGCAGCGTCTTGACCAGAACCGCGGACGCGGCTTTGCAGGTGACCTGCGGGGCGCGCAGGACGCCCCGGCGGCGCGTGGAGCCGCACGAGCAAGCCTGCTGCTGTCGGAGCTCCTGCAGCGAGGCTGGAGCAGAGGAGGAGGAAGAGGAGGAGGGGGTCTTCTGGTGCAAGTGTTGCAGTGTGTGATGATGGGAATGCTGCTGGTGTGCCTCGGGGGTCACAAAGCTATCGCTCTTTAAGATGCTGTAGAGAATGCTGTTGTTGTTGCGGGCGCTGGCACCCCGACAGCGGCAGCCCTCCAGCGTGGCCATGACCGCCGGCGGGCCGCTCAACATGGGCCGGAGCTCGGCTCAGCCTCTGGAGCTGGAGGTCAGTGACAGCAGCAGCTGTTTTCTTTTGCCCCTGATAGCCTCGAGTGAAGGGCAGCCCGTTTATATCGGCTTCCGTCTGTCCTCGCACTTTGAGAAATTGTTCCGAATTACTGCTTATTCCACCTCCCCAGAGCTATGCACCTCCTCTTTCCCCACCTCCGTCTATCTCTCTCCTCAGATCCCAGCCGCTCTCGGTCAGGACTACAATAAATTAGTTTGAAAAAAGCAACTTCATGCAAATTAGTCCTTTTATCTCACCTGTCAAGTGGAGGACTCGTTAACCCCAAAATGAGTTATCTCAATGTCTCAGCCTTTTAGTACAAAATATTAAAATAAATAAATAATCGTCACATTAAAAACAAATGTATGAGGCGCCGATTGTAAATGATACATGAAAAATAAAAGCCACGTGTAACCACATTTAACAAATAAATTAAAATAAATAAATGGAATCAAATCTAAGGGTTTAATTTAAAAATAATGTTGCATTTAAATATTTTAAAATTCATAATCATTTTGTAAAGGTCTATATATTTAGAACGGAATCTAAATTTATTTAATTATATCTAAATATTCATCCATCTATTATCTCTACTCCGTATGGTGTCAGGGAGGTCTCCGTCACAGGAACATACGGAGACAAACTATTCACTCGGCCACTTAGCAAAAAATTATAGTCTGAACATGCATGTTTTAGGTGTGTGAGAGAAAACCTGAGCACTCAGAAAAACCACACTTGCATAAGGAGAACTTCCAAAATGTGCAGATTAAGGCTGCAGCTGGGACTTGACTGTGACCTTCCCACTATAACAGTGCTGCACCACCATGCATCTAAGTGTGTTAAATCAAATCTAGAAGTCTAAAAGTCAACCTAAAAATAGATTTTTTTTTATATTTACAGTGTGAGTTAAATGTTTCAATCTCAGTCTAAACAATAACGTTAAACCTTAATTTTTTTCACAAAATAAAATCATTTTAACAGCAAAATCAAACTATGTAAAGCTTAACACAAATTAGCTACAATGGTTTTGCTAACATACAAGAAGGGACTACATAAGAAAGTCAATACATTTGGTGGCGAACGTGCCTTTTTAATATGTTTGAGGTTAAGGCTGTGTGTGGGTCAATTTGGTCATTTATCAAAGTGCACCAAAAAATAAAAATAAATAAATAAACCCAGACAAGAAAACTGGCAAATTAATAATAAACTCATTCAATCTTACCAGAATTTTTATTTCAAAAAGATGCCTCGGCTTTAGAGCTGCCTAAATTGGCATGTCATCTAAATATTTAGTTCACAATAACTGCATTTAAATTTGGGTTTTGAAATTCAGATTAAACTTCATATGTTTAGGCTTGATTTAAAATTTTCATTTTGAAAATTACCAATTCAGTTTATGTTGCTGCACGGAGTTTAAAATGTAGTTGATAGTTATGTATTCATTTTGTATTAATATTGTTTAAAAGTGTGAATTTTATCGTTTTTGTTGTATTTTATTTTGAAAAACAGAAGTGCAGGCTTCTCTGTTCTTTTCAACTACCTTGGCTTCCCATTCCTCACAAAGGGTCTCACATTGTGAGGGAGCTACAAATGCTGTTGCTGACAGAAGACATGTTTTGAGAGAATTTTATGTCTTCTGCAGGAAAATAAACAGTGGAGAATCAACTTTTTGGGCGTCTTTCATGCTAAATCAGGACTGTTATATTGCAATATTAAGACATGCAGTTGTGCTTTATTTAATAAATATGGTGAAAAGAACAATTTAAAAATATTTGCCGCATATTTTGTTATTGTCAGAGACAAAATGTGGTTAAATGAAGCTGTTGAGTTTTAGTGCATAATTTTATAATCAGCGCCCCATACAGAGACACGTTCTGCTACCAGCCCTGCACTCTGACTTTGCTGTTCATGAAGCAGGAGCCAGACAAAAAACAGACCAGAGACGGAGCTGAAGCCTTAATTAAAGAACAATTTATATGATTTTCTTTGAGAGAAAAAAATGGTAAGAAGAGCTGAGCTGTGAAGGCCAGCCTCCATCCTTGACTCGGACACACTGATATTGATTTAACCGTGAAAACTGAAGCTGGTGAATTATGATGTCATGACTCAGTGCTCCCCTTGTTTCTGTCACTGAAGGAGGATGGGGAACAGCAGTGGAGGAAGAGGAGGGGTCAGTAAGGAGGAGCAGTCGGGAATAAAGAAGAAGAATTAGAGGTTTATCTTAATTGCTCCAAAGAGGGAGCAGGGGTTTAGGCCACAAGCATCTGGCTGCAGACATCAGCTGGCGTCTTTGCTGTGACCGGAAATGACGTAACCGGAAAAACGAGACATCGGGTCATTACCTTCGTCGGAAGTCATTACCTTTGCTGGAAGAAGTTTGGATTTGACAAGAAAAACCATACCGTGTCGTTTTTCTCTTCGATATGTATTTAAACATATACGTATCGAAGAGAAAAATTATAAGGTGGGTCATTACCTTAACCAGAAGTCATTAATTTCACAGGAAGTTGTTTTTTTAAACAAAACTTAACGGAAAAAGCTTTTTATTTCGGATGTTTTTCCTCTTCAAATCTGGACTGGCAAACTTATAAATAACGTCGTTACCTACATTGCATGAATATTGAATATTAAATCCCTTTGTCCTTCAGACAGGGAATTTTTATGACAGTAGCACATATATATGTACATATTTTTATATATATATATATATATATATATATATATATATATATATATATATATATATATATATAAGACTGCGTGTTAATATTGATACAATTTTCTATGAAACACGGTGCCTTTGCAATAATTCTCTGGTAAAGCTTTAAATGCTATAGTGCACACATTTAAGAACTAAGAACGGTTACAACAGTTAGTTAATTTCATCCTTACCTTTTCTCTTTGAAACCCGCCGAGTATGGTTGAAACAAAAGCGGCCACCAAAAAAGACCAACTTCCGGCCGAGGTCTTTCGCTCGTCGATTTTCCGGTAAAAGTAATGACACGCCATCTTGTTCTCGCCAGAAAGTTCTTCCGGTGACACGCCAGCTGATGTGTGCAGCCAGGTCCTACTCGTTCAGGCTGCTACCTGTGAGGGGGGAATCACAAGAGATTTTATCCAGGTGTGCACAAGACAAAGTTTTCCTGTTTGTCTGTAAGATTTGAGCTTCTGTGTCAGAAATAGTCTAAGGACCTCCAAGGATTTCTCACGAAGCAGGACCTCGGTCCCTTCCTCTGCTGCTCCCAAGGACACAGCAATGAATTCAGACAAGATGAAAAACTTTTGCTGTAGTGCTGCAACATTGTTCAGGGGCCAAGTGTCTTTGTATTGATTTAGCTGAGAGGGGAAAAAACAGAGAGATTTTTCACATGTTTATATCAAGGACACTGAGGGATAAACAGCCTTCACTCAGCGAGTCTCCTCCTGCTCAAGGCCCAGCCTGCACAGGTTATAAAAATCCTTCCATCTCAAGGAGAGATTACATTATGTCTTGTTTCAAAAGCACAGAGCTGAAGAGATGGCGCTTTGTCACCTTTTGTCTCTCTTTGTTTTACTCTTCTTTTCTTCTTGTGTTGGTTTATTGGATTTGTGTGAGGTGTGTTTTATCAGCTCTCTGCTCGAGAGTCTAAGTAAACACAATCCATCTTAAAATCCCGCCGCTGGTTCGGTTCAGTTCATGATGTGCAGCCGTACAGCGTTTGAACCTGCAGTGCTTCGGTTTTATGTTTATGTTTATGTTTATTTATGTGGCAAACGCTTTTATCCAAAGCGACTTACAATTTATAACCTATAGGGCATGTTGTGATCTGTAGGAGAAACCGGAGTGCCCGGAGGAAACCCACGCATGCATGGGGAGAACACGCAACTCCACGCAGAAAGGCCGCAGCCGAGTTTCAAACCTGCAACCTTCGTGCTGCGAGGCGACAGTGCTAACAACTGCGCCACCATGCAGCCCGTTTTATTTTTAAAGATGTGTCTAGCTGTTTTTGTTCATAGTTTTGGGCAAAATTGCCACGTGTCGTGCACAGGCGAGCCAGCGACGCGATCCCAGAAAGTTGAAAATTTTCTAATTTTCATTGTTGTCGCTCGGACGAGGACCAATCAGTGGAGGTTTCTTTGACTGACCAATGAGCAGACAGGATGCTTCTCAGTACACTTCCAGGCAAACATGGAGGAAAGGTTAATACTTATGTTTCCCAAAGCTTTACAACATTTCTACAAAACAATATAGACATCTCCACAAAAAGCAGCAGCATGGGAAATTGCTGGTGCCAAAATGAATACATCAGGTATGTTTACTTTACAGACACAAACATTTTTGTACGTATTGACTAGTGCAATAGCAAACCTGGATAAAGAACGTTTGTGTATTATATAACTCTGGACTGCTTTAATAACCTTCAATCTGACGGCCAATCAAAACAACGAAAAAGTCGCTATTCGCTCTGGAACAGAGTTGCTTCTGCCACTGGCAGATATCACCTCCCGTGTGTCGAGCCCATTAGAAGTTCGAAATAAATTTTGAGTTGGTGAATCAAAATGGTCTGTGAAAATAAGAGAACGTTTGTATATTTGTTCATATGAATAAAGAAATAAAATGAAATTAAATAAAACCCAGTGAGATGTTCCTCTTGTCTCCTGTGGTTACTTTCTTTTTTATTACAGGTAAGTTTTCTTTTTTATAGATACTATATATAAAAGCATCTTCTCAGAAAAGGAAATCAAATAAAAAATGATAAAGCCTGACATTAAAATTAAAGTCATTCAGAAATTCTGAACTTTGTGCAATTACTTAACAAAGGAACCACGTAAAATCTATTTTGAGGGGAACATATTTTTATTTTCTAAAGCACAGATTTAAAACAATGTGTTCTTCTCTCTGAGGTTTCTGACTGGTCTGTCAGATGTTTTACGAAGGATTTTCTCATAAGGTTGAGGTGATTTTACCACTGAGGCCAGGAGAAAAGAACATCTCTAAACCCCAAGATCTTATAAAAATTTAAAGCCTAACAATTATATTTAAAGGAACAATTTTCACTCATTTCATATGAAATTCCTGTCTTATGTCTAAAAGATCTGACATTTGGGTGTTTTTGTGTGTGTTTGTAATGATTAGCTGCGACGGCCATCTTGAATTAGGTTTTCTCCCAGCACTATCA